GTCTGTGTCTGAGTCTGTGTCTGAGCCTGTGTCTGAGTCTGTGTTTGTGTCTGTGTCTGTGAGTCCACGATCATGGACCTGTCTGATGAACGAGCGTCTTATGTAATCGAGAATCATCGTAATATTGCGCTGGGAATACGGTTACGTTTGCTATTTTGTTTCTATGTGCGGGCTTCCTGTGGAAAATCATGTCTATTTAGCCACCTCATTGGTTTTAAGTTTGTGAAATTCTACATGCATATAGTTGTGAATCTAGCCTCGCCTCATCATTGCCTCTGTTCGTTTGGGCGAGGTTGTGATAACGTTAGTAAACAGCAGCGTTTGTGCCTACACAGGCGTGAACATCAGCCAATCATTAATCTGTATATACACTCCCAGTGTACCTGTGTTAGCTTAGATTCAGCTGTGTCAATAGACTTACTGAAGACACGCCCATGTACACATACATGGTGCAATGTTCATGGAGGTATGCCACTTTGCACGCGAAGCTCTCTCACTGGGTACATATTGTTGTGTCTTTTATTTAATAGCCTGGTGCTCTGTTTATCTTCGCCTCCAGAAAAACTGCGGCGGGAGGCGGTGGCATCTGTCGATGGAGTAACGAACGAACTAGTTGAAGCACTGAACAGCGGGTGTGTTCATAGTAATAGTCTGTGTTTACATCAGAAAATTGTTTGTGCCTATAAAACTATTCGTTAGATACGTTGTAAATGTTGTGTGAGTATACAGAAGTATTCGGTGTTTAAATAGGGGCTATCGGTTGAATTGAGTTAGAACAATTTGTCGTGTGAATCCGGTTGTGAGACCCATCAAGCGACCCACGGATGTGCGTTCATAGAATGTGTGTACGTATTAAGCGAACTGCTCGTGTGTGGTATTCTTGAGGGGATATGTTTGGTGCAATTGGCAGATATGCTCCTATACAGAATATACTTTAGTACCGAACAGTTAGCCCCATAGACTCGATTGTGGTTTGACTTGAGGGCCCAAAAGTAGAAGTCACGTGACACCACTTATCTCCACTGGGAAGCTTGGGTCTCGTTGACAGATTGACGGGTGTCTGTATACCAACATTGTGACGAGGCTCTCCTCAAGGCTGATGTAAACCAATAGTGCACACCAATACTGCGGTGCCGTAGACTGACCTTTGTACGCTTCAACCAACTGGTGGAGTGTGATGCGAATGAGTGACTTGTTGTGATAGGGCAACAGGATAAAATGTGTTCTGTAGGCCCGTGTAGTTCGTGATTTCGCCACTCTCTCAACCATAACAAACCGCGTGGGTGCGATACTTACCTGTGTGCCTGCGGTGGTCACGGGTGGCCTCCGTAATAAACTGCTATTGTACGTCCACGTGGTTTAAACCTCGCCATTGAGGTGAATGTATTGAGACGTATTTGGCGCAATACTTACCTGTATGCTTGGGGTGGCTGCTGTTGGTCTATATAATACCACTGTATGTGGCATACACTGAGATTAAACGCGCTATTGATTGCCTCTTCGTATACCACCGCAAGGGTTGCCGAGATATTCGCCAATCAGAGAGAGCTGGAGAAGCAGACTAAGCTTTTGACGCAACACACGGGTGAGTTTTAACTTGCTACGCGTAGGACCGGACGAACACACGCATTTGATTCAATGTTTGAACGTTTGCTTTAATATAAAATACCAAAAGAAAAGAAAAAAAAGGGGGGTTGTCCCGGGTTGGGACAAGTAACCTGAAATTTGTGGCGAGATTGTACTCTCGAGAATGACTGGTTCCCGTGTATGTGGCCGTTGAATCGATATTTTTCGTCCCGATTTTCAACATTGGAGTGCCAATAGTCGCATACAAACGTCTGCTGAATGCTTATTCTCCGCTCCCCATTCGTAGAGGTTCTATCCAAAGAGACCGATCAGTGGCAAAACATGGTGGAGAGCTTCAACGATGCACTCAAGGTATTCGCTGCACGTGCACCCCAATACGTACACAACACGGGGGCAAACTGCCTGCGTTGTACTAAGCAGTGTGTGGTGTGTTTGCTGGCTGACTTGACGGGTGTATATAGTGATAGTTGGGTAGCTGTTGGATGCTATCACAGCGTCTTACTTGAAGCTGTTTAATGCTATCGTAGTGGTTTACTTGTAGTTTTTTAGATGCTAAGCAGGCATTTGCGAAATCAGTTCGATGTTTATCTTGGTTAAGATAGACTTTGAATATATTGATTGAGACAGAGTTTACATATAGTACAATACTAAACACTTATATTCCAATATCACAACTTCCTATATTGTTGTATTACTATGTGTTGCCTTCACATAGCACATTAGTATCGACCTGCATTGATTATTAAGACTCTGGGCCTCAGTCAACAAGTGCGTAGTAGTAGTGGGTCCATATTGTGAGGTTGTACGACCCCCATTGCGATCGTCGGCGATATTCGATCAAACACAAGTCGATTGTATGGCAAGGTATTGAGAGCAAAGCTTTATCTCAAAGTATGTATATACTTGATCTCAAAGTACATATATCCTTGATTATTCAAAGTACATATATATATACTTGATCTCAAAGTGCATATAGACTTACTCTCAAAGTGCATATAGACTTACTCTCAAAGTACACATATGCTTGATCTCGAAGTACATATATACTTAATCTCAAAGGACATAAATACTTGTTCTCAAAGTACATATATACTTAATTTCCAAGTACATATATTTTTGATTACTCAAAGTACATATATATATACTTGATCTCAAAGTACGTATATACTTAATCTCGAAGCACATATATACTTGGTCTCAAAGTACATATATACTTGTTCTCAAAGTACATATATACTTAATTTCAAAGTACATATATTCTTGATCTCTCAAAGTACATATAAACATACTTGATCTTAAAGTACATATATACTTGACCTTTTAAAGTGCATATGTTTACTTGAGCTCAAAGTACATATATACTTGATATCAAAGTACATATATGCTTGATCTCAAAGTACATATTTACTTGATCTTAAATTACATAAGTGCTTGATCTTAAATTACATATAAACTTGATCTCAAAGTACTTATATATACTTGATCTTAAAGTATATATATACTTGATCACAAAGTATATATCTATTCGATCTCAAAGCACATGTATACTTGATCACAAAGTACATATAAACTTGACCTCGAAGTACATATATACTTGAACTCCAAGTACATATATACTTGAACTCCAAGTACATATATACTTGAACTCCAAGTACATATATACTTCAACTCCAAGTACATATATACTTGAACTCCAAGTACATATATACTTCTATACACAACAATCCTAGTATTGAAGCGCATCCAAACTTAACCTGGTTCATATGGCACACAGGAAATTGGAGACGTTGAGAACTGGGCACGCGTGATGGAGAATGATCTGAAAATCATTGCGGATGTGGTGAAACAAGTCAACAAAGGTGTGTTTTAAAGCAGGCCAAGAGAGGATAGTGCTGTGTAGCTTACTTTTTCTTGCCGGGCGGCCTAGTATCGGTGGACTCTGGCAACTGTGGTCGAGTGGTGTTAAGAGTTAGGTGACTATAACTCGAACGTCCTATTCTTACTACTGTATTGGAAGCGAATTAGTACTCCTACACTTACGGTGAACCTGACTTCAAAAGCGCGCTGTGTGTGTGTCGCTGGTAGTTTGCTAGATATATGTAGCAGCCTTCTATCGCAGTAACGGAAGCATCGTTCTTCCATATGCCGCAGTTGTCTACTAAGCCCCTGCGTTTGACCGTCTCCGTTGATGGTATGAGGCTTCGTTGTCCACTCAACTATTCACTTCAGTACAGTGCTATCTGCTGTTGGATTAGCGCCGCTTTATAACCCAACTATTCCGTTGTACTGTTCTGTGCAGAGCCTGAGCCCGAGGAAGAGCTGTCGGAATAGAACGGCTTGAACATCCGAAGTGCAGCTCAGCGTTACACAAATGGTCTAACTATGCACCGTGTGTATATCCTGTATACTGTAGACAACACCTGGGACTATGCTGTTGCCATAATGTGGTCATCGGGTTATGTAGACTACATATGAATTGTCTAACGAAACGGGCCCTGGCACTGGCGTCCTTCTAACCCGAGCCTTTCGGTCTACTGGCGATCGAATGGATGAACACACTCCTCGCATCCGCACAAACATCCAATGAACGATTTTTGGTTTTAGGGTATCAGGGTTATATACCTGCCAACTGGGCACTGCTGTTCGTTCCAACACTCCCACATGGTTGATAGATGCATGACCCTCAACAGATGATGCCAAGAGACATTGAATTGCAAAGTATACGCTCGTAGCCCATGCCTGATGGGTGAATGTCTCCTTATTAGCGATACAAAGTGTCGTTTCTCGTGATCCGTGCGCATACAATGACCTGTGCTCATACACCATTCCACGGATGGTGCAGGAAGCTGTATACTTTCATACTGGCATTTCCCAACGAAAGCAGAATGCATCCACTGCCACTGGTAATGGCAAGTTGAATGGGAATGCCGATGAATGTTACCAATTGAGAGTTCTCTAGCAAATGCACACCGTGCTATGGATAGATCACATGGCTGTCGGCGATACGCAAAGCGCTGAAAAAAGGCTGGCATGAGGACGGGTATGTCCTTGAGTACGATGAGATTGATTATATAAACCAACAAATGTACTTCTCTCAAATGATGATACGATATTGAGGAGAATTGCCAGGAGAAAGATGGCTATCCTGTGGCGTGGAAGGTTACCACCCACTCATAAGCCGCCAATGACATGCAAGCATACATCCGTGGTCTTCCTTCTCTATTGAATAACTATTCAACTATTCGTAACTATTCGTATCAATACTCCAGTGTATTCCCCTGTACGGTCGCGTCCGGTGCCTCAGGTGCGTCTGGGGTGTTTGGTTGTAACACCAGGTACATTCGGGTACGATCCTAAATCAGAAGTACATCAAAATCTCAGAAGGATAAGAGTTCGAGGACTTCCCGCTCTCTTCTCAAACACAAACGCCAAGTGATTCGATCTTGTCATTTCAGTCTGTTAAGTTTTTTTGTTTCGTTTATGCAGTCCCCTGACTGGTTGGAAAGTCAAATAGGCGCCGTGTCTTGGCATAACTACAACATCACGTGATATAACCATAGCTTTTCTAAATAAACAATAACCCTGCACGACAAAGTACCTCGAGAGTCAAGGCTCAAAGTACATTTATCATAAAAGTGTCAAAACTCATGCATATAACCCCCAAAAGGACACGATTGAATGGTTTATTTTTGAGATGAGTTAAGACTGCAACTACTAAGTCTGACTTTTGGTTTTGCGACCACTATGTCTGACGCTCAGGTCTGACGCGTTAAAATTGCGACTTAAAATTACGACCACTAAATCTGACGCTTATGCCTGCGACCACTAAAATTTACGCTTATGCCTGCGCCTCATTTAAGTCTGACGCATAACCTTGCGACAAACGGCAAACGGAATCAAATTCTGTAATGTAAATGGGGGTCAAAATCGGGACAAAAGTATGTCAATAGAGTTCTGTAGGGATCCCCTTTCTTCTTCTTAGACAAATAGCTACATTTTTTTTTAACTATTTCTGTGAGATCACAAATCACTTGTAGCAACGGCACGGCTCGCCCAATAGGAATCGAGTCACTGTGATAATACATTCAGCAGAATTGCTTCAGCAATAAAAAAATCGATGAGTGTCATCTGCATGTATTTATAACCTGTGTGTTTGATGCGTGAAGGAATCGATAATCGATCCTACTATAAAAATAAACGATGCAACTACGGTGATTGAGCAATCATTCACAACCTTACGTGCAGGATACAACAGACTGATAAAATAGTAGGCCACGTATACTGGTTTGTACATACCTCGTCAACAGTGCTACGGTTTGGGATGCCACAGTAGTATCTCATTTCCTATTTACAATGACTCCGTCTCGTGTAGCACACCAAAAAACCAGCAAAGCCTCGCCACCACCATATCGTGCGAAATCTTTCCGCAAAGCGGCTGATTTGCCCAGTTTTGACAGTAAGCATATTCTTCTAAGCCGACCGGATCTCAATCATCTTACAAATGCGTTTCCAGCGTCGGGCTCAGATCTGGTAGGGGAATGTTCTAAGTTCGTCATATTTTTCCCTCCCTTTGGAGCGTTATAAGTACGTTTGAGTACAGTATAAGAAAATATAGTACGTGCAATAGACGTTGAGAATACAGTTGTATATGATCATCTATAGGTTGCAGACTACAAAGAGTAAAAACTGACGCCCACCCGCGAATATAGCCATAGATATACC